CCCCTCTGCTCGAAAAAAAGAAAAAATGATTAATATTATTATTTGTCTCTAACTCCTTCCCCCCACCCCACTGCTCCAAAAAAGAGAAAAAATAATTAATACTTAATAATTAATACATCTTTTAATAAGACATTAAAATTGTCTTAAACATCACTACTGAATTCATGCACATAACTTATATTCCCGATGGGTCTTAAACCCCACGTAACTGAAACGACCTGGACTCGATTAAATTCAAATCCCTTTCATATCTTAAATTATCGGTCTTATTATTTAAGATAGTACAGCTCTCTCATCCCTCGCGAGAATACTNTTGTAAGATACTATCATTCAGATACCATATCCATCTTAATTTAAGACTGCTAACCCTACTTGCCCTCTGAATACTGAATTTCAGTGACGTTTTCAGTAGGGACTTTTTGTAGTGTAGTGCGCATTTCTGTCGTGCAGAGGAACCCACGCACTACTTATATACGTTCAGGGGGCCTATTCTCGACGCAACGTGAATGAGTTCCATGCGTGAAAATCGCTTCGTTGGACCTCGTACGTGAACGCAAATCTTCGCACACGGATCTCCGATTCACATGCGAATCGACTTCGTTCACGGATATCGAAAACTATTCACACATGAAAATATTTGTGCTTAATGTGACTTTGCCACTCACTGAACCGGGTGTGAATAGTTTCCGAGTTCCGTGGATCAAGTCGATTCACACGTCAATCGGAGATCCGTGCGCGAAAATTTGCGTTCACGTACGAGCTCCGTATATGAAACGCTTTCACGTACGAGATTCGTCAACGAAGCGATTTTCATGCACGAAACTCGTTCACGATGAGTCGAGAACCGGCCCCCAAATTGTTGATGGTGGGGAAAGTCAACTTCTCCAACTGTAATCTTAGAGAAGCGAAATCGTAGGAAGTATCCACTGCATTACTAGTCAAATGTAATGTGATAATCAGATAGTGAGTTGGTCATAATTTTATCATGTAACATGTCATATATGTTATATGTCATATCACTTTGTGGCATCCCTTCGCATCGCATATATTTCTAACATTATTTAAGAGTCTATTGGTCTTCTTTCCATTAATTTTGTTGCCTTGGCGATATTAACAAAAAAATGGTTTACAACTGCATCAATTAATACGATCCTTATTTTTTCTGCGAACAGGTAGAAAATTATTCGGCGGCTACCGGATAGTCCCCAAAGTATGTCAGCCAACGAATCCCTCGAGACTAAAATCCACCGAGCCACCAATATGCATGTTCAATTACGAATGCAACAGGAGAAACGGAGAAGTAGTGGGTGCCTGTATGGATGGATTCTTATTCGGCGCTTGCTGTCAGTTGCCCCCGGCGAAAACAACCTCACCATCCGGCGCAACATTCCACACAGTCTCAACCCCCTCATTTGAAGAAATTCAGGAAATTGATCACGTCCCGGAGGTGCCAATTCTATTAAAACCGGATGGAACTCCAGTCGATACAAACGACCAATCTAACACAAAGCAAACCGCATCAACACCATCAGGCTCCTCGACCACATCCCAAATGGCTGAATTGGAGCAAAACTTCCCCGCTCTCCTTGGCCAGCAGGCGGTCCTCGACGACCTTTCACTGCCAGGTCTCCTGACACATTCAAACAACAATGATGTACAGGATCACCAGGGCACAGCGGCTGTAAACCCGGTGACAACCCTTCTGAGCCCCGACCAGGTCCTTCAGATCGCCGATCCCGTGGACCAATTACCCGCGCTATTTTCGCAAGGAATAGGACAAAATAATCACTCAGGTGCTGAGACAGTGCTCCTCCACAAGAACGGAACAGTTCTTGGAAACGAAGAAGTCAATTTCGAGCAATTATTCAACCCAGTGAACAGAAGCACACTGTCACCATCGACCCCTGTCACCGAGCGGACATCAAGCAGTACAAAAAAGATGTCAGGACCATTCCACTACATGAACACGCAGAGGGTGTCTGGAACGACCCAAACAAGCACAGTCGGTCTCGTGCGAGTACCAACAATCAGCCATGAAAATCCAACTGGCATCAAAAAGCACGACAACATGGATCGTGAGAAAATAGCGATAAGTCACATAATATCGATTCTAAACGGCAGTAATCCTAGCGCTCCTGTGGATCCGCCGCGCGTCACGACTCAGCAGGTGGAATCGACCGACCGCACGTCATCAGTTCACACTTGGGTCACGATCGAGGACACGTCACTCCCCACCACCAGCGCTGACACTTTTTCGTATACATTCTACAAACCCTCGACGAAGCCACCGAATTTCTATTATTACGACACCAGTTCCTCGACCACTTCCTTCAAGAAGGGGACGACGAAGCCACCGAGCTACTCTAGTTACTCTCCAAGCTATCCGTCGAGTTCCAGCACGTACAACAGCCCCTCCGTGAGCTACGGGAGTTCATCAGGAGGCTACCACTCCACTAGACCCACTACTAATCCCCCGGCGCCCACCGTCATCGTTCTAGGTCCTCTTGGCACTGAGTTCACGACTATAACGAGCCCCAAACCCCTCACAAAAAGACCCACTCCATCGTCCATCAAACATAGCATCGTCACCAAACAACCCAACATTGGAACAGAGATCACCCACAACATCAGCACCGTTATCTCGACATCACCAGGTGTATCAGGTACCAGCAACATCATCTCCACAAGCTACATCAATGTTGATTTGAAGGAGAAGCCAAGCTCTCCATCCACTGTGGCTGAACTCATCACGAAAAAGCCGACAACCTCGACAACTGTGTCAACGTGGCCGAGCACACCGAGCTTTTATTTGAAACCTGACAACCCTGATTTTCAGTGGCCCACAGAGAACCTGACGCCAGTGCAGACGGTGGAGTCTAAACCCATCTCCACGAAGAAGCCGGTCAGTCCAGGGATTTCTACCACCAATTGCGATGAGGTGACCGCACCTCCGGACGATCTGTCAGCATTTCCTCCCGATCGTAATCCGAGTTTAACGGATTCAGCGCCCAGTTCTCAACAGGAGAAACCAACAATTGTCGAGGGTTTTAATAATACTGGGTATCCGGGATATCTGGGGAGTGAAATTGTCAGTGATAACGAGATACCAACCCCCAGTTTCATCGAGGATGAAGTCTTGAAGAACAAAGTCGACGATTTAGTTAATAAGATTGTGGATTCACTCCAGGGAGATTTTCAAAATCTTGAAGATGTTGTTTATAGGAGGAAGAATGCAACTTTAGCGACGACAGTGGCACCAACGAAGAAACCGGTGAGTACGAAAAGACCTGTCGGACCAGGGAGTACGAAGAGACCATCAAAGAAACCCAGCAGCAAACCTGGAGCTAGTACTGTGAAACCTGTTAGGGCTAAACCCAGCACAGTTTCCAGTAATGAAACCACGAGAAAACCCACTAACAAACGACCCAGACCCACTAAAAAAGTTACCACTCAAGCGAGCGTAAGTGTCACCACTCTTGCGGATACCGTAACGCATTCTATTGTGGCGGAGCTCAATGTAGTGCAGACTACCAAGAGGCCCAGCACGACACCGGATTATCGTAGAGGTGAGTGATTTATCGTTTTATTTTATTATGGTTAATTTATGCTCGAGGAAAATTACACTGAGAGAAAAACAACAGATATATTTGTCACATCCTCAGCAATTAGATCATAGTGTTTTATTTCTCCAAAATCCCAGACTCCTGGATTAAAAACGACAGAGTTCTCAAACAAGTCTTACTTGTGCCAAGAAAATGATGTTTTGAAAATGATCAAAAAAGGATTTTTTCGTGCCAAACGTGCAGAGAGTGCACCAAGATGAAAAATTTGTATCGCAAAAATAGATTTAGTACACTGAGAAAAAAAATATAATATCTGAAACATATTTTCTTGAAGCAATTAATTTTTCTTTAATTGTTTAATTCTCCTAGGTATCTTAACTCACGTGGCCCGAGAAAGGTCTCATGCTTTTAGTATATTTCGATACAAGTGCGGAAAATTGTTTTTTGGCTCGTGCTATAAACCTCCCACGATCCAAATAGTACATTCTGTCACCAGGTGATAAAAATATTATCTACCGAGTGTGACTTTATAATCCGAGCCGATGGCGAGGATTATAATCACATTCGTCAGATAATATTCTTATCGCCGTGTGACATACAATATTTTTCGGGCCCAGCGACGAAATAGTATATTGTGTCATTAGGACCGTAGACGGAGGTTTGCGATGAGTGTGAAGTTAGCAGCACGAGGCGTCGGTAAGACAGGACGAGGCGCGCCGAGTCCTGTCTTACCGACTGCCGAGTGCTGCTAACTCACAGGAATCGCAAACCGACGTCACGGTCCGTATGACACATACTATTTTTTGTCATAAAGGCCCGTTAACGGTGAGGGGAGGAGGCGCAGAAGCGGGGTCCAGGGGCCGCAGGCCCCGGCGGGGTGGTTGGGGGGGGCGAAGCCCCCCCCACTGTAGAAAAAAGAAATGACAAGTGAAGAGAAAATATTGAAGAAATAGAGATGCAAAATCCTAAATTGAGATTCGAAAGAACGAATGCAAAAGTTGTAATTCACGGAGTCTGTCAAAAACATTCAAAAAACATCTAGATGAGAATGGAAATCTTCCTCCTCCTGAAATGGAAATTGCAACAAATTGAAAGAATAAAAAGAAGGATTAATCATTTTTCTAAATTTATTCTCATGAGAAAATCAACGTGTGAACATCTACAGTTTACAACTTTTCTTTTTCATCGTTCCTCTTCTTCTCACAACATACTCAAATTTTTCATCACATTTTAATAGAAATATATATATAATCTATTCAAAATAGATATATAACGAGAAAGTGAATATAATCTCTTTATTAAACTAATATTTTGACAATATAACCCTCAAGTTACGACTGACTCCCTAGCAACGGAATAACAACTCCTGATGTCATCGGCAATGACGGTGGCGCATCGTATTAGTGGTGAACGATCCGCCGAGTTTTCAAGCAAGTGACAG